TGCGGTTCTGCGGAATTTGACATTCGAGTGATATTTCATGAATATGTAGTGACTCACAAGACTAATCATAGTACTATTGGCACTTAATAAGCTTACTAGCACTACGAGTACATCACAGGACCACTATGAACTTCCCACTAAAAATTCGCAGGACCATTATAGATTCTAGAAACTAGTTACGACTGGTAGTAACGATGACGAGGAGGAGGAAATAAGCGAAACGCCATGTCCAATCTTCATCCACTTGGCGGCGTGTTCTTATATTATTATCTGCATTTAATTACTGCTGAGCACGCAACTCACTAGCAAGAAGAGAAAACAAATTATAAGCTTGGACCGTGCCCGCGAGAATCCGGACAGCACCAACAAAATATGATGAAAACATCTGACACATGTACTTTGTAAAAAAATGAAGGAAAAAAAGAGAATTAAAACGAAAAAATAAATAGTCCTCTTCTCTTCTACCCTGCCACCACTAGTATACTAACCCCCCCCCCCCAAGATACACACCTACAAGAAGAAAGCGGCCAACGCCATAAGACCAGCTGCTGCACCATTGACACCCACGACCGCAGCTCCACCAGTAAACATTGGCTGTGATGGTGTTGCGTATGGTGTAGTGGTGTTCACAGTTGGGCGAGTGTATGACGGAGTCATCGTCATGCTTGTGTGGTAAGTGCAGTTGTAGCATGGAGTGTGAGTCGGCACGTGTGTCATAGTCGAGTACGATGGAGTTGTCGTGTAGCTCGGCGATACTGTGGGGTAAGTGGTAGGGCAGTAAGTAAGCGTCACAGTGGTTGGCTGTGGCCCGCAGTGTTTGCACACTGTCACAGTGGTCGTGAAGCCCTTCGGAATAGACGCAGTTGCGCGGTATGTGGGACAGGCTGTTGCGCAGTGCTCTGTGACTGTGTATGTGCTGTGACACATCCCGGTCTTACAAATCGCATCATAAACCGTGGTGTAGCACGCAGTGTAAGGCAATGGTGTGTAGCTGTAAGTGTTGGTGTAGTTTACAGTGTACGGGACACTCGTAGTGTACGGAACGCTCGTGGTGTACGGAACGCTCGTGGTGTACGGGATGCTGGTAGTGTATGGGACACTGGTTGGGTAGTAGGTTGGCACTGGGACTGTGGTTGGGTAGTAGGCAGTTCTAGTGGCCTCAATTATGACGGTTTTACCATCGAGGGTGACGGTTTTCCCGGGGGAGGTCACAGTACGCGGGGGTGCATACGGGAGCCCGTAGCCGTAGTCATAGTCCTCCTCACTATAAGGATAACCAACCTCGGGTTCCGCAGCGGTGGCAGTGACGGTGATGGCAGCAGTTAATACCGCAAGGAGGATAATGATTGAAGAATGCATCTTGAAGCGAGAGGAGGATTCTGGAGTAATGAGTGAATGTAGTTATTGCAGAGCAAAGGTAAAGAGTGACTATGAAGAAAAACTAAAAGAGAATGTAATTGCCAGTGCCTGTTCGATAGGATGAGAGGAGATTGCAACAGAGGATGTGCGGAATAGCGCGACATTTATGGGTTCTGAAAACCACGGCATGTGTTGTTTTCATTTGGCATGTTTCTCTGTAATAGTAAGGGAAGCCTGTGACAAATCTATGTAAAGAATGTGAATTCCCTTATGGGAGTTGGCGATCGTCGTCCGCTATGCAAGGAACAATCTTCATAGACTCGTGCCTTGCAGAGTCCTCAGTGTTGCCAAGCCTGTCTTTCTGGAGGTGGAGATATATACTCAGAGGTAAGGGATTCCCGAATCAACGCGTGTCCAAGATGCCCCGTATTGGACATGAATTCTTCATAGGTCGATCGAGTACTTGCGTTCCGCAATTTAAATAGACATAGTTGGCAAGAATCCAGTTGCCATGTTCGTGGGCTCTCCACACTTATTATAAAATAAAAAGCTTTGTGCACGCTTTAACTGAACTGTGACATGTGAAGTCATTAACGGAAGGTCCCCTACAGGTACTTGTCAGCATAAGTAAGAAGATTGAGGCAGCACTGCAATGTTGTGCATGATATGATGAGTTGAGGTGCTACGTCCCTCAATAAATTATAAATGGCTGGGTGTCTGTATCCAAACTGCGTGTTAATCTGCTCTGCTGAGTTTTAACGATTATTTAGCAGATGAGAAGGATAGTCTGTTAAAGACATGAGCTGTGGTCCTCAGTGCCAAGTGGAGGATAGGTAGAGTACATGTACTTCCCACCAAGCCCGAGTTTAGGGTTATGACACAAGAAACAGTTCCATCCGCAACTGGCTTAGTCCACTTTTAAGCCCATAACTACTTGGATTACATCATCCGGCATCAATCATGAACTCTCACTCACATTCTTCACGGAATTAACCTCTAAAACCGATCGTATATACACCTTCTTATAACCGGGATCAAAGAATTTCATCTACTCTATCCAATTAAAAGCCCCCACGGTCTAGAAAAGTCTTTAATTTTTTCGAGTCAGAGTTTGCAGTCAATGACGGTTTAGCAGTGTGAGCTGGTCAACGTATGATGTAGCGACGCGGAATGACTCGTGATACAGACCGGCTCAACTTGATCTTTGTCGAAGCCGAATAGCCAAATCTTTCAATATAGAGAATCATATCGTATTCCTAAGGTACTTGCACCATGGGCAGTGTAAAGCAATGAATTTCAGCTACATTCATAAACAGAAGTCATTGGCTGATTTTTTCCTATCCGCACCCGAAATCTATGAATTCATGAACTCATCAATTATCGGGACATTCGGAATTCATGGATTGGGCAAATACAATACTTGAACTTCAATATCCACGAATTGTTCTTGTTTTCGCATTTATCGCCGTGAGTATCAGGATATATACATACATTTACTCAATTTTGAAATTCACATGTCATTTTCATAATTCTAGTCGCACGGTAGTGTGTATCTCTCTACTGGGTGGTTGCATAATAGTTCTAGATTGCGAGAAATGCTTATATACTTCCCGGCTTGATTTGACCCCCCAATAAACTCTCACCTTTGTACTACCAATTCGTTATCCCGAAAGCCGTCTCATCATAATGTTCAAAACACCTACACATGTAGAGCAGTGAATACCGTACGCAATGTAACCTGTCACATGCGGTACTCTACCAATCCCGGGGTTCGGATACCAAGCCCTTGACTGGTCACATCCGTTGATCCAGTGCCGTTACATCGGGTCCCGTGGTAGAGTGCTACAAGTTTTCCTCCAACTTCCTTGACATTGCGAATTCCGGATCCGCAACCTCAACCTGCGTGCACTTGTAACCGTACCTCCCTCTGCCCCTCCGTCCACCCACCTACATGTAGTTGGAATTGCAGAGATAAGCAGCGGTACATGCTTAATCAGTGAAACTCTACGAACTGAACCAAGTCCTACGCTGGCGAAACTCGGCTCAGATCCGATGCTCGCAGGCCGAATGGACCTGCTCTATTTATTGGCCACAAAGAGCACTCACGACGCCACTGCATATCCGCGTCGCGGGAGCGCTTCCGTATGTTTATTCTCTGCCAATGGTCATTTATGAGGAGTGTAGAGTAGGCAAAAAGATTAATCTCGTCACAATCTCTGTACCTACTCTAGTAGTACATGCAGTACCAAGAGTAAAATACTCAAAAAGTGTAGAAAGATCTACTCTACTCAAAACGTTCAAAGTGCAGCCCACGAACCAGTCTGATGAAATAAGCTTACATCTGTTCGCTAGAATGCCGAATCAACGAACCTTCCAAGCCCAGCCCAACGCTTTCTTTTCCAACATGACAGAGTGTGTAGGTACATACATAACTACATGTATGTACCGGAATCAATTTTGTTCACCTCATCGAACGGCGGTCATAGCGAGAGCGAGAGCGAGTGCCGCACACCAGCCAGCCATGTCGTTCCGTTCAAGCCACTCGCTCTCACGGAGTGTTTTGTCCGGACTCCGAGCCCCTTCTTCAAGATGCAAGCAAGCAACAATTTAACTTGGCATTCGATTGTGTTGCCGTGTTATCCGGTGGGAATGATCGAGAAGGACGACGGTTCAACCATCATGCTCAGTCGTCCTATGTACTCTTCACTTGGATCCAATGCAGCCTTATTCGAGGGGGGGGGGGGGGGGGGGGGGGCGGTCATGCACTAGCTTCTGCCTGTCTGTTTTATAGACTTTTGAGTCAATCTTGGACGTGTTGGATATTCTTTAAAGAGCCGTCCTTCTCCTCCAGTTAATTGCTCCATCAACCAGTGAGTCAAGGCCAGCGGACTTCAAGAGATTCAGCAGATCGTGCATTTGAGTCATAAGGGGTTCAGGATATTTGCGTCGTCAACATATCAAGGTTACATCTCTACTAGTAGGTGCGTACAATTCGTCACGATTCATTAACTACCACCCTAGCTACGTATATACTGGCAAGTCTAAATTGTCTAATTAACTGAGCGAGGGTCTGACACAAAACTTCAACGAATAGGATACAAGCCAAACAAAAAAAATCCTCTATCGGCCGATAGCACGCGGTCAAATCCTTGCCCGATACCGCAAAAAAGCTTACATAGCAAAGCAATACAGATTTTGGCAAGCTAGCCGAGGCAGATCTGAGTCTTGTCTCGCCTTAGATCAAGAGAGTTTATATCATCATAGCCAAGATAAAAACATCGGGGGCGCTACCAACGTCGATAGAAAAAAATAAACTGTCCTCCTCGACATCAATTCTAGCTGTCCTCTTGCCCCTCATCTCCGCGGACACCAGAGTGTATCTTTGTCGCTTTTTCATGATAAAGTTCGGATTCGCCTCACTTGTTTAAGCTCTTCGGTACCAACATACTCCGACCTCCGGCCCCGGATCAGTACCAGTAAAAGTCGACAAACTGGCGTCGTTACCTACTTCACACGCGGAAGCTGTGGCTCCCCCGGCTGACAATACTCTTACTTCCGCCGGTAACACTTTCAACATCCCACCACCAGAAAATAAAGACGCTCATGTCGCGGGAACCACCAGATCCCCCGATAGCTCTTCTATGAATTCTTCCAACGAATGGAGCAAAAATGCATATGAAAAGGAGGTACCTGGGCTTCCGCCCGCGTTGGCGGATGACATAGAGGGCGCTGGTGCGGCGAAGAAGGACAGCGCGTGGAGAAAGAAAAGGCAGTTGAACCCGCTGCGATGGCAAAAAGTACCTCCGGTGCCAGAGAACTCGAGTGTGAGCAGGGAGGCAGCTGCCGGCTTCTTCAGTAAGCTTACCTTAAGCTGGATTGGGCCGTTGATGAAGGTTTGACCTCTGTTTCGAACTGAAATTTTGTTATAGTAGTTGCTGACGTTGGTGTTTAGGTTGGATATCTACGACCTCTTGAGCCTACGGACATCCCACATGTTGCGCCGGATAGATCATCAGCAATACTTACAGAGAAACTTACGGCCTCATTCAACAGACGACGGGAGAGAGGTGACAAATACCCTCTCCTCTGGTCCCTCAATGATGTCTTCAGGCGAGAGTTTTGGTTTGCCGGAGTTTGTAGGTTGATGGCAGATATCATCTTAGTTCTTTCACCGTTTGTCCTAAAGTAAGTCATTATCCCGAGATTTGAGAAACGTATATTCTAACTTCGACATAGATATCTCATTCGTTTTGCCGTCGACGCCTACGTCGCTAAAGAAAAGGGAACAGCTGGGCCCCACATCGGAAAAGGTGTCGGCCTCGCTTTCGGTATCGCGATTATGCAATTTGTTGCCTCACTTTCCGTGAACCAGTTCATGTATCACAGTATGATGGTGGGCGGTCAAGCTCGTGCAGGAATAATTGCGATAGTCTATGCAAAGTCTCTCAGGATCTCTGGCCGAGCTCGTGCTGGTGGCATTGACCCGAGCAAGCCAGTCGTAACCCCGACTGCAAAGGAGCTCAAGGCAATGAAGAAGGAGAAGACCCGTGATGATGAGATTGGTTGGTCTAATGGAAAGGTCATGAATTTGATGAGTACGGATACATACAGAGTCGATCAATGCGCTGCTTGGTTTCACGTTATGTGGACTTCACCTATCCAAATTATTATCACGCTCGTTCTTCTTATCATCAATTTGTCATATTCAGCACTTGCCGGGTTTGCCCTTCTCTGCTGCGGGGTTCCCATCCTCTCCATGGTTGTCAGGACCCTCGCCAAGCGGCGCCGCAAAATGACAAAGATCACTGATAAACGAGTAGCCCTAACGCAGGAAATTCTAATGGGTGTTCGTTTCGTCAAGTACTTTGGCTGGGAGAAATCATTCCTATCACGACTTGAAGAGCTTCGTCGTCGTGAAATCAACGCAATTCAATTTTTACTTGGTATTCGAAGTGGTGTTACAGCTGTAGGGTTATCGCTACCTATTTTTGCCAGTATGTTGGCGTTCATCACCTATTCGCTCACCGACAACTCGCTTGATCCTGCTTCTATCTTCTCTTCGTTGGCACTTTTCAACGGGCTGAGAATGCCGTTGAATTTGCTACCAATGATTATTGCCCAGGCCATCGATGCATGGGTTTCGTTGCAGCGACTGCAAGAATACCTCCTCGCCGAGGAGATCAAAGATGAAGCGGAGATCGACGACAACTCGACCCACGCAATTGAGATCTCGGGCGGTGACTTCACATGGGAGAAATCCATGAACGAGATGGAGAAATTTCAAGGCGAGAGAACAAAAGCCCAACGGAGAACAGATCGGAAACAACGGAAACAAGATAAAAAGGAAGAAGCTGCAAAAGACAAGGAGCGTGAAGCGCACCCAGAAACAGCGTCGTTGTCTAGTGCTGGCACCTTGGAACCGTTTAAACTCAAAAATGTTGATCTCCAGGTTGGCCGTAATGAACTTGTGGCTATTGTCGGGGGTGTTGGAAGTGGGAAGACATCATTGCTTGCCGCCCTCGCAGGAGATATGAGGAAGACCAGTGGAGTCATCAGGCGCGGAGCAACAGTTGCATACTGTCCGCAATACGCCTGGATTCAAAACGCCTCTGTCAAAGATAATATCCTCTTCGGCCGCGATTTCGACGAGGCCTGGTATCAACAAGTTGTTGAGGCATGCGCGTTGCAGCAGGATCTCGACATGCTGCCCAATGGCGACGCTACGGAAATCGGAGAACGTGGAATTACGGTGTCTGGCGGGCAGAAACAACGGTTGAACATTGCAAGAGCCATTTACTTCAATGCTGATATCGTGCTGCTTGATGATCCATTGTCGGCGGTTGATGCGCATGTCGGAAAGCATCTCTTCGACAAGGCAATTTGCGGGCTCCTCAACAACAAATGTAGGATTTTGGCGACACATCAGTTGCATGTTATCAATAAGGTTGACAGGATTATCTGGATGGAAGAAGGCGAGATTCAAGCTGTTGGTACATACGATAAGCTTATGGAGACGAATCCGGCGTTTGCGAAGATGATGGGCGAGATCGCGACAGAGAACCAAGTGGAGAAAGCCGCGAACGAAGAAAACGAAGAGGAGGAAGAGATCGAAGAAGTGGACGAGAAAGAAAAGAAGACCCCCCAACAACCGAAAGCATTGATGCAGGCCGAGGAGCGTAATGTTAGTAGTGTTCCGTGGAAGGTCTACGAGGCATATATCAAAGCCTCCGGAAGTATTCTTGTCGCCCCGCTTGTTATCTTTCTTCTCTGCCTTTCGCAAGCAACAAATATCATGACTACGATGTGGCTTGGATACTGGACAAGCGGTAAATACGGCCTGTCGAGAGGAACCTATGTGAGTACTTTAACCCTAACCCTGACCAATGATAAGAATTACTAACAAGGGTAATGATCAGATTGGTGTATTTGCGGGATTGGGAGTCGCTCAGAGTTTTCTCGTGTTTTTGTTTTCGTTTTCTTTGACGATTGCCGGCACGAAGAGTAGCAGAGTCCTTATGCACCTTGCGATGAGGCAGACACTACGAGCCCCAATGTCATTTTTCGACACGACTCCTATCGGTAGAATCGTGAACCGGTTTTCAAAGGATGTCGACGTTATGGACAACAATCTTACAGACGCCATTCGGATGTATTTCTTTACCATCTCTAGTATGTTGCCCTTGGCGAAACATGTTTTGTCTAATCGCTAACTCATTTTTTAGTAATTTCGTCCGTCTTCGTTCTTATCATTGTCTACTTCCATTACTTCGTAATCGCCCTTGTTCCCCTCGCCATGTTCTTCCTATTCGCCTCTTCCTACTACCGCGCCTCTGCGCGTGAAGTAAAGCGCCATGAATCTGTGCTCCGCTCCGTTGTTTACGCCAAATTCGGCGAAGCCCTCTCGGGAACCGCCAGCATTCGCGCGTACGGCCTCCAAGAGCGTTTCAAGGACGAAATCGACAAGGCTATCGATGGTATGAACTCCGCATATTTCGTTACCTTCGCCAATCAGCGTTGGTTATCCCTTCGTCTTGATGTGGTTGGTAACCTGCTCGTCTTTACAACAAGTATTCTCGTTGTAACATCCCGATTCGATGTCAACCCTAGTATCTCTGGGGTGGTACTGTCATACATTCTCCAACTCGTTATGATGTTCCAATACATGATTCGCCAGCTCGCAGAGGTTGAAAACGCCATGAACGCTACTGAGCGCATTCATCATTATGGGAACTACCTCCCGTCAGAAGCCGAGCTGCACAAAGGTGCAATCCGCCCTGCATGGCCCGAGCATGGAGAGATCGAAATGAGAGATGTGAAGATGCGGTACAGAGATGGACTGCCACTCGTCCTCAAGGGCTTCGACATGCACGTCAGGGGAGGTGAAAGAATTGGTATCGTTGGCCGAACTGGTGCGGGGAAGAGCTCAATCATGAGTGCATTGTTCCGCCTGGTAGAGCTCAGCGAGGGAAGCATCATGATTGACGGTGTCGATATCTCCAAAATTGGACTCCATGACCTCCGCAGCAAGTTGGCGATTATCCCGCAGGACCCCACGCTTTTCCGCGGGACCGTTAGGAGTAATTTAGATCCGTTTGGCGAACGCACAGATGAAGAGCTCTGGAGTGCGCTCCGACAGTCCAATCTGGTTGAAGAATTAGCCGACGGTACCAGCGGTGGTAGAATCACATTAGACGGGGTTGTGGAGGAGGAGGGAATGAATTTCTCTTTGGGCCAGAGGCAGCTGATGGCGCTAGCAAGGGCACTGGTGAGGGGCAGCAGGATCATCGTGTGCGACGAGGCCACAAGTAGTGTGGATATTGAGACAGATAGGAAAATCCAGAAAACGATTGTGGAAGGATTTGCGGGGAGGACTTTATTGTGCATCGCGCATAGGCTGAGGTATGCCAATTTCTTTTTTCTTCACTCCTTTTGAAAAATCCTATATTTTTATTTGCTTTTGGTCCTTTATACCCTCTGTGGTCTTGTGGGGCTTGTTTTTTGTTTCACCCGCTTTTATATACCCATTCAGTACAAGTGTACCCCTACTTTATTTGTGCCACGGTACTGGGTACTGCTACAGGCTGTTTCACCTCAACCATGTATTGCGCCGAATGTCTCGGAAATCCACATCCCAGGACCCCATACCTAAAACCCTTGATATGACTTTGTGGCTAACGGTAATCCTTTTTTTTTTTCTCCTACAGAACCATCATCAAATACGATAGAGTCTGTGTGATGGATGACGGGCGTATTACTGAAATGGACACCCCATTGGCATTATTTGAGAAGGAAGGTGGCATATTTAGGGGCATGTGTGATAGGAGTAAGATTAGGAGGGAGGATTTCTTTGCGGTCGATGAGTAAATAGGGAAGATTTATACGAGGGATGAGGATATAAATGGGGGTAGTAATTGCATTGTAATAGATGAGATTTAATGGTAATGAATCGGGGGCGAAACAAAATCGGATAACTAAGAGTGGTAGAGCCGGAGAATGGGGGTTTGATTGGTTGTTCTTGCTGTAATTTAGAGGCCTGTAATAGTAGGTAGAATGCGTATATCAAAGGAGAATCCCGTTACTCGATTTACCTACAGCACTAGCAGATATCTCATGTTTGAGGCGTTGCGAAGACTGCAACCTTCACGATAAGTATTTTATATGGAGTTATCTACTAGACAGCACCCATGTAGGGGTTGCATTAAAAATATCCAGACAGTACTTTTTCAAACCCCTAGACATACTTACGAGCCACTTCCACGTGATCTGCACCTGCCTGTATCGCATTTGATTGGTTCACCAGGTCTCGCCCGGTTAAACACACGCAAAGTTGACTTTGATATTTTCTTGTAAACCCCCCCCCCCCATGCCCCAGTTTACCTGATATACGATATCCCCAGCTAGTTTACTCTCGGACTTTCGACCGGAACAGAAGGAGGAGATTCAGGGTGGGCATCTGTAACCATATGGACACCACATATGCCCCAGAAGCTGGTAAACCCATAGAAAAGCACACATATGTCGAACATGATTTTTCCAAAGCAGAAGAGGTGGGAAGATAGAGTAGGTACACCGCTCAGACAGCCTGACCTGACCCGTAGGACGGGATACGGGAACGGGAACGGGACAGCTCACGATCTTACCGGTGGATGCGTGCTTATGGCACAAACGGGATAGGAGGTGTGGAACATGTATCATTATTTTTTTTGGCCACCGTACTTCTTCCACTCCTGTCATTCGTGGGGGCGAGTGGGATGGGAGAAGTGCGGTGGATGGACATGCCGTACTAGGCTTTATACTCTAGTCCTTGAGGGCACCGTACGTATATCCATCTATCTACAAGTCGAGGATGTTCGTTGTAGGTATAAAGAGGGAGTAGAGAGTAGAGTAGCTACATGGACTCTAGATGCCATTAATTCCTACTCACGGGTACAGGTATGTATGCAGGTGTAAGTACTCGTAAGTGCTTTATTCGATGTGAGGTTGCAACGGTGGAGCCTCTTTTTCGGGGGATTAAATTGAGGGCCTCGAGTTCCCATTCGGGGGTTGCAGAAGGATGATCGGCAAATTCCGATGTGGCCGATCTCTTTCGACCCTCTCTTATTCTTTTCCTGTGTCCCTCGCCCTGCGTTCAAACACGCCCCAATCCATCCATCCACCGAGCAAGCAGGGTTCCGGAGGACTTTTGAGTGTGGCTGTTTGTTGGGTTGGGGAGGATACAGTCCAGGAGAAGAGGTTTTTTTTTTTTTCTTGGGGGGGTCCGGGATTATTGAGGGGGTGATGGTAGTGAAAAGACCAGTGGCTGTCCCGTGCTGTTGACTTGCTTTTTTCTTCTTTTTTTTTTCTGTCTCTGCCTGTCTCTCTTTCTCTCTCTCTGTATCCTGAAGATGTGATGTGCTGGAAACAGCGATAATCGTTTTTTTTTTTTTTTTTTTTTTTTTTTTCCTTTCCTTTCGCATTTTTTCTCTCCTTCTGATTGATGCTTGTCGCACCCATTTTTAACAATTGCGAAATATTTGAGACATCTTGGCCTAGATCCTGTTCAGGTTGTGTATCGGGAGCGAGGGAAGGTATGTAGAGCATCTGCCTGCTGCACTCTACTGTCACCTTTAGTTAGGTACTTCTCGTCTCCCACTCTTCTAATTATTCATCGCCTTTAGTTAGTCTGTCTGGTTGCCCACTAACTCACTCGCTCACTCGTTCTGTCCCTCACACACTTTCACACGCTTCGCTTTTCCTTGTTGTTCGCCTACTGTTCATTTTCCCATTTGTTACTCCTGCGCCTGTCCTCCCATCTACATCGGGACTTTTTTTTTTTTCTTTTCAGGGTATAGCTGTGTCTGCTGCTTGCTGTCTTGCTTGATTTGAGTCTGCTGGCTGCTGCTGCTGGCTATGCTTTGCCGGACACGGGCTCCACTGATCTGATCGCTTTGGCCTGCTTGGGACCTCTCTGATCCCTATCGAATTAATCCATTTGTTGTTGGGTTGTTGCTCTTATTCTGCTTTTTCATCTTCTCTTGTCCATCCTTTCTCTTTCTCCTCTCCCTGCTCCTCCTCTTCCTCTTCCCTTCTGCTCCTTCCTTCTCTTGCACTACTTTATCCACTCATCATCCCCCACCTCTCGCTGAGATCCAACTATCATTCTCTCTCGTTCATAATCTTTGGCATTGACATTCCTCTTCGTTGTCTTCATTGCCATCTTTACTTGTTGGTAAACATCAAACTTCTCTCCACATCTCACTCGGCTCAACAGTATTCTTCATCTCAATCTACCCCACTACCACTACCACTGCAACTGCTACCTCATCAAACCCGAACATCTTCCACAATGACTGGCGCTACCCCTCCTATTCCCGTTACCATTATCACTGGATTCTTGGGTTCCGGCAAAACAACCCTGCTGCTCTCCCTACTTCCCCAGCTACCCGGGTCATATAACCTCTGCCTGCTCAAAAACGAGTTTGGCGATGTCGAAATTGATTCTCGCCTTGCCTCGCAGGCATCAATCTCCGGAGTTACGGAATTGCTCAATGGCTGGTTAGAGATGCCCCCCCCTCCCTAACCCACCCCACCACCCCCTTCCTCCCCAAAACCCACACTTGATATCATTGACCATCGGAATTGACACCGAGCGACTTTAGTATCTGCTGCAATCTTGTCGGACAGCTCGGCGATGCCCTGATCGCTCTTCGCGATGATTTTAAGCCCCACCGAATAGTCATTGAGACCTCCGGGAGTGCTTTCCCGGCCACCCTTGCGATGGTTCGCTCTCCCCCGGCTCCCCCCAGAATCTGGGTGATCCCTGCTAACACTTCCCCAGGAGGTCAATCGCATCGCCTCCGAAACTAACGGCGCGTTTGTCCTTGATGGCGTGGTTGTCGTCATCGATGTCGAGAATTGGGCAGGCTACTACGACACATCATATACGGCGAAGCTCCAAGCGCGGTACACGGACCTGATTGTTCTCAACAAATGGGAGAACGTCGATTCCCGAAGGGAGGATGTGGTTATGGATCGGATCCGCGATGTCAACGAGGAGACTCCGGTCGTGAAGAGCGACAAGGGGCGTGTTTCGAAAGACGTCATCTTTGGGGTTGACAGCAGCCTGGCAAATGAGCTTTTGTTGCACCCGAATGGCAATGACCATGACCATGATGACCACAATGACAAGCATTCGAGGGAGGTTGAGGTGTTGTCGATCACGCTGCCTTATCAGATCGATGGCGCAGGCAAATACCTTGACGTTGCACAGCTGGAAACATTCCTCAAGACGGCGCCTAAGGATGAAGTTTACAGAATTAAGGGCACATTTAGGTCTCACGAACCCCCTCCATTCGAGACCCCTCTCTCGCCATCCCCGAGGTACATCTTGAACTGGGCTTTCGGAAGGTGGACATACACTGCGCTCAAGAAATCAACCGTTTCGACAACTATCGAGGCACCACAGCTCACGCGACCATCTTCCTCATCCGCCTCCAACTCCTCGACAGCGCCACCAAGCCCAACAACGTCGGACGGAAACCGCCGCATTGAGGTGATAGTTCAGACATCCATCAAAACCACGGTCGAATCCAGGGAGGATGGCGAGGATGCGCGATGGGATGGGGAACCAACCGGAAGATTCATCGTCGTTGCTGGGAGGGGAGAGGGTGAGAGGTGGAAGAAGAGGCTCCAGAAGGAAAACTGGATCACATACGACAATGGGGCGGAAGGAGCTGTCGAGATTGTGACCGTTTTGTAAAAGAAATGAGAGGTTTGGAGGAAGGAGTTGGGCGTTTTTTTATTTTTATTCTTTATTTTTTTCCATTGGACTTTTTTTAGTTTTTTTTTTGAGGGGGGAGAGAGGGGAAGGGAAATTTCGGATACGCCCGCTTCGGATTTCAGCATGACCAACTCTTCATGGGAGCGGTATACACAGTGGATGGTTTCGGTAATGGCCGATATCTAATACCTATCACTCATGTTCAGGCGCATTTTTATCTTTTTTTATTATTTTCTCGCCGCTCTTTGCGCCTACTACAGAGGAGGGGGAGACTAGGGAATGCAATGCAAGGGGCAAATATGTTGTGGATTTTCCGATTACATGCAATACACTGGTTGTACCTTCAATTTAGTTAGGATGATAGTTAGGAAATACCCAGTAGCAGTAGCGATAAAGAAAGAAAGAAGGCGTGTCAATTATCTACTTGATCATGTACATAATATGTACACACGGGAGAGAGACGCGACCAAGGAAGTAGTTACATACAGGTGGCTTTTAGGTCAATTGAATGGGGGGGATTTTGGTTTTTTTGCATATTGTCACATCACCTATGGGCTTTTTTTATTATTAGGCGCACCGCACCGGTGGCTGCCCCATGCAGCCAGTCGGCGGCGGCCCGTAGAGAAATGCTTGCGCCAGTGCACATTGCATCCATTCCCTCCCTTCCCCCAGTCCACGGAGGCGTTCGCTCCTCGTTGGAAGGGGATTGAAGGGGAAGAAGGGGTTGGTTGGGTAGGGACGGGGGTGGCTGCTAATGCCGTCTGTCTGGCTGCAATGCTCGCCATGAGTTCTCACTCGATTGCGGGGTGCTAGCTCGCCTGTGTTGTACAGCTGTCTTGTCTGTACATATGTCTGTCGCTGCTGCTGCTGCTGCTGCTACTGCTACCAGTCAGGCTAGGGCTACTTACCTGCCAGGCTACATACATGTATCTGCCAGGGACCAGCTAAACCCTGATCCCCGCCAAAGAGACCTGTCTACTGTTAGCCCAGAACGAGTAATTAGTAGAGTTGGGTGGCGACTTTAACAGCGACAACAACAGCCGTTAACGGGGGTTGTAAGCGATATCCGACCGTCAGTACCTACTTTGATCTCTCCCCCTCTGCC